ACGTATATGTATGGATATTGGCGACTCGTACGCTTGAACGCGCGCGAATAATCGATCAATTTGCCGGGGATTTGAGGAACGTTCCGAGAATTTGCCAGCTAATCGGCACGGCCAACTAGCGAAATCGACCAACGAGCAAGTAATCGACGAACAATTACAAATTAATTACGCTGCGCCGCGGTTGCAACTTATAAATCACTCGCGCGACAAACGTGTAATATAATTACGATCGATCAGCAATAGTTGTTTGTTTTCGAAAAGCGTTTTTGACAAATTTATTCCAAGCACATTTCGAAATACAAGACTTGCATAGTGGGAAGAATACGTCCATTTCAACTTGAGTGAGTTTAATTATTTAATAATTCGACGATTTTCAATATCCACAAAATGATGGCGGTTTAAATTTGACTCTTCTGGGATAAAGTTCGCGTAAACTGTGAAGCATACGATCACAAAAGTATTGTCGTAGTTTCGGTTATGATCGCGTTATGAAGGAAGGCTCCCAAATTGTCCAAGTGTATGAAAATACAAGAACTCGTTCAAACTTCAAACGTATCATTTTGTTACTTATTATTTTTTGAATAGTTCTATATTCATCAAAAATTACTTATCAAATTGATTATTTTAATTCTGATTTTATTTAAAAAACTTTATTCCCAGATATGATATGTGTTTATTTGGCGAGTATAAAGTACATCTTCCCTATACACTGTAAATAGTCCATCTAACATTAGTATTGCAAGGGTTGATTATACAGGGTGTTCAGCCACACCTGGGAAAAATTTTAATGGGAGATTCTGGAGGTCAAAATAAGACAAAAATAAGAAAAAAAATTTTTTCAAATCGTTTAAAAAAAATTATTTTCGGTTGCGGGGGTCAATTACGATCACTTTTGGCCAACAGACACACATCCGAAATCCTACCCACTTTTGAGAAAAAAATTCTCGAAATCGTGAAATTTTTCAACAAAATTAAAAAATTTCAAATCATTCTGGAAAAATTATTTTTGATTGCAGGGCTCAGTTACAATCATTTTTTATCAATAGACCCACCCCCGAAATCCTACCCATTTTCGAGAAAAAAATTCAGTACGGGCGGAACTTTAAATGTTAATAACTATTTAATGGAGCCTCCATCAACAAATTAGTATTCTTGATTTTCGTCTTATTTTGGCTTCTAGAATACCTCATTAAAATTTTTCCCAGGGATGGTCGAACACCCTGTATATTGTTCTATTGTTTAGTAATTTCCTTTTGGTTTTTGCTAGTAAATATAGCGTTTCTTTCTGGATTAGTTAACCTCTCTGAAAACTAACGAATAAAGGTAGCTAAAGTTAGAGTCCAGAAGACTTGATCCTGTGAAATAAAGGTTTTAAAACTATTTAAAAATGCTGGAAACTAATACGTCAGCATCTGAACTGTGTTCATTTTTAGAAACGAATATACTATAATATGGAAATATATCCTATTCGAAAGAAGTCAGGACAGAAAAGTAAACTAAACGTATAAAAAGTTATTAAGAGATTAGTATTCCGAGTAAATAATAATGGTTATAACAAGAAGGTCAAACGAGCTGCAAAATCTATTGGAGACAGCCGCGCGTTTGGCACTAAGATAAGAAAAATTCTTATTTAGATAACGAATATCGAATATCGAATAAAAGATAAACAACTTTCGATCCGTTATTTGTCCGATAAAAATTACAATTTGAATTATACAATCCAATTATGCTTGGCGTTAGATAACAGCTTATCGGAATAACTGTCCAATCAAAGAAGTGTTTCGAATAAATTGTTGTAAACAGTTTCTATTCGTCATCTATTGTTTGATTAAATTTCCTATTTCGGTTTTGCACGCTTCCTTTAAAGTATCATACTTAATTTTTACAAAATTACCAAATAATAGAACAAATGTGTTTAATTAAATGTTCTGGTTTAAAAAAAAGAAATTTACATCATAGTAAAATAAAGTTTGCGTGATTTTAGAATCTTCCATGCATCTAACAGTACACGTACCAAAAAGAAATTACTAATTAATAGAAAATATTAATTTTTAATTAAATATTCTGGTTTAAAAAAAAAAAATTTACATCATAGTAAAATAATGTTTTCGTCATTTTAGAATCTTCCGTGCAACTAACAGTACACGTACCAAAAAGAAATTACTAAATAATAGAAAATATTAATTTTTAATTAAATATTCTGGTTTAAAAAAAAGAAATTTACATCACAGTAAAATAATGTTTGCGTGATTTTAGAATCTTCCATGCAACTAACAGTGGCACGTACCAAAAAGAAATTACTAAATAATATAAAAAATTCATTCTTAATTAAATATTGATACGGAATGAAATTATACTCCGCGACAAGAAATTACATAAGACGCGAGGGTATTCGCGAGGAAAGCACTCTAAATGTCAGAGGCAGAGTGTAAGGTCACTGGAGTGGTTTTAGGTGCCACAAATTGCACCAGAAACGCCGACGAGCGAACTGCGACACAGGCCCTTCTTTGTAGGGTCTGCTAACCCAAGAAAAGTGAGGGCACTGATATTGGAGCATCGATCCTTACACAAGCACGGATGCTAACACGTTTCTTTACTCCAATGGCCAACACGACAATTTCGCAGAGATTCTTCGACCCGTTAACTCCTTACAATTTAATTTTGCGATCGTACGTCTCATTAGCCTTTACATATTGCATTTCTCACGCACTGTAACGAACTAACAGCCAATAGAATCGTTACGAAAAATTTTCAAAAATTATTTTCGTTCATCGAGTATTAAACGGTAATATAGAATGCAATTAATTTTTCTACGAGTTCTTATCATGTTTGGATTATTGTTTGTATCTCGAACGCGTCTTGTATTTGTCATAATTAACCAGTAATATGGACCACGAGCATGACACGATATTGATATAGCAAGTGGGTTAACCCTTCGCGTTCAAACGGCGAGTTTAACGCGTCGTAAATTCTCTCTGGTGAAACGCATTTGCCAAGGAAGTTTTAAGTACTGATCATCCACAGACGCAGCAGATGCTGGTATTTCTTGGAAGCCACGGAACGTATAAAAAAAACAAAACTAAAAACCACAACTTCAAACTAAAACTAACTAAAAATAAACTAACCAAGAACTAATGAAGATTGAAAAACACTGTTCAACTCGTTATAAAATTTTCGAAAAATTTCAATGACCGAAAAATATAAAAATCACGAAACAAATAAAATTTGATAAAACCCGTGACAAATTCTGACGTTCAAAAAGTCCACTGATCCCAAGAGACGAAATTCTACCGTGTATGTAACAAGTTAATTAAGGAGTATTTTATTAAATTAGTCCTCGAAATTTACACCAAGCTTTTAAAATTTATTTAAGACTTCGTAATTCTTGTCGAAAGTCAACTCTCTCTCTCTCTCTCTCCTTGTACCACTCGCAAAAAAAAATTCTAAGACAATGATAACACGACCACCCGGTAGAAGTTCAATGATCAATGCCTCGATTCGAGAAAGAATCGTTGGAACCATGTGGGGGAGGGGGGGCTCTCCCTCTCTCTCTCCTTGTATCAATCACTTGCAAAAAAATTCTAAGACAATGATAACACGAACACCCAGTAGAAGTTCAATTATCAATGCCTGGAACCACATGGCGAGAGGGGGTGAGGGGCGACGTCACATTCGAGCACCTGTTTATTCACGATAATAAACCTTGTAGTTTTCCGTATACCGGGGAACGTATTCGCGTGAATTTTTCTCGCGAATCGTCGGATCGCTGCTAACTCGGTTTCGAGTGGAACGATCCCGGGTTATAAATACCTTGGAGAAATTGAACGAACCAATATTACGCGAGACGATTAATCAAAACGGAATAACCGTGCATGAATGATTGCTTAATTAGGCGAGATTGGTTGCCTTCGGTCTACATAAGCGTAACACACCGAGACGTGTTTCTGCGTGTCACGCTGGGGCGGCCTTATATAATCCGCTGGCCACATGTTCGATCGAAAATTTTCGTGAACCTTCGCCAGTCGCGATATTACTTCATAAATACGATGCAAGCGGGTCTGGGACGCGTTCGAACGATTTTTTAATCGAAATATATCTAAACCACTTGCGTACGTTCGATTCTCGGAACAAGCGACGACCAAATTGTAGTTAATTATATAATAAATAATATTTGGATGTATACAAAACACGTGTGTGCGTGTGATATTTTTAGGAACTCGAATACTTTAGGAACCGTTTAGAAATTTACAAATTGAATTATTTATTTGTTCGCGTATCTGATCGTACAAAATACTCTGAACACCTTCTCGGTGGTTGAATGTAAAACATTAATACACGGATTTTTTTTATTATTTAATAATTTTTTTTTGTCGAATATGGTATTTAATAATAATTTTACTGTACTTGATCCTAAACTGATATTCCAATTAATTTTCATTGGCCAATTGAAAACTAATCGAAATTATAATTTCGTACCTGATCATTTTTATTATTTAATAACTTTTTTTTGTCGAATATTCACTGACCACGTAATTACAAGGTACGCGTGTATTCTATATCAGACGATGGATCAGGATTGGAAGCATGGATTCCGTAATTACACACAGCTACCGAATACTTTTTAAAATGAACTTTGTCCATCACTGGATCCAAATCACGCGGCAACAGGTTCACTCTGTTTAACGAGCGTCCTCGATGCAGTCTATAGATCCATGTAAATATTTTCGAACGGTATCAGACTGAATAACGCCCGGCAAGGCCGACAGAACGAAATGTTGGTCTGCTCTTGAAAAAGAATCTAGAATATACCGGGTGATTCACGTCGCGTGCGAGCGTTTAATTACGCGTAACTATTCATGACCAAAATAATACAGACGCGCAGAAAGGATCGTACATTGTTTTTCTACACGATACTCCGAGTCGTTTAAAAAGTAACGTTCCCCGGCGAAATAGAAATCTTACGATATTTCTGAAACGCTAATAATATCGTGTGTGCTCACCTCTCGTATTTCACCTGCATAGAATGAGCGGAGTTGTCGTCCCAATAATTCTGTGTCTCCATCATCTTGCCGCATAGAATCGTTTCCGATGCGCGGACACGATCACTTCCTAATTTCGAATCGCCGTCACCGTTAACTTCCTCCTTCAATTCGTTTACGTTTCGCGGTTTCTTCGAAACTCCTCCTTTTACGGTCCCCCTTTCTCACCAACCGAAAATCGGAGAACTATCTTCTTTCAATTCACGCTCGATGCACGCACGTCTGCGAAGCAACTCGAGACTTGTAATACTCGAGCGGGAAACTTACGATTCTCACAGACAATAAGTATTCTCACTGATCGCGGGATTACGGGTGCATGGGTATAACGAGAAAAAAATAAATAGTCCTCTTTCAAACCGATGGCTCCTTGATCGATAGTGCGCACTCGACGACTAGGTTAGGTTCGCCTCCGCACACTCACTGACACACTCGTAACGACACGACGGACCGGGAGGCCGGTACTTGGGAATCGCCCACGTCTTTCCGTCCAGTCACACTCGCCGATATATCTGTACTGGCGCCCTCTTCTTTTCCTCTTTGTCTTCTTTCCTGCTTCCCGATTCGTCTTTTTTTTTTTTAAACCGTCGATCGTCGATCGGTCCCTCGGTGCAGCGAACCCCGACAAACCCCAACGATCGAGTTTTTAAACCCGGCCCGTCGAAGAAACGTTGCTTGTCGGCGAGTACGATAACAAGCAGCAAGAGAGAAATACAGTTCGACCCCGTGACGTGAAACGCTAGCGACGATAAGGCCGTTGACTCGTTCGACCGCGAAATTCCGCGATATACTAACCCGGCAGGGCCGTAAGAATTGAACGAGCCGCGTGCGTTCACTCGCGCATCATCGGTGGTCCGTTACGTATAGATACGCCGCTATGGGTGCGTACGCAATGCACTCGGCGAATTTCACGCGGCAATGCTTGGCGGCGCTCGGGGTGTATTCTCTGGACCAATGATCGCGTTACGTGCACGTACCGGAATCCTTGCTCGGTTCCACGCACCCCTCTGCCACCCCCACTATTCCCCCGACGCGCTGTCTCGTGTGCTGTACGTGTTCCCGCGGTTGGAATTCCGAATGGACGAAAATAAGGAGGATCGTTCGAACAGTTCGTATCGCGACGTGTACTAGCGTGCGTTGTTTCCTTGGCAAGTTACTCTACGCGTATAATGCGCGGCCCTGTTCGGTTCTCGCGATGGGCCGCGGTGTGGCATGCGGGCCGCTGGTGGGAGCGATTCAAAGCCGTCTCAGGCGCGAAACCATCGATCCCAGAACCACGTGACCCAAGGCCCAAACCGAACACGATCGATATCGTACATTTTCTCGTCGTTCCGAATACAAATTATCGATCTCGCGTCCATCCTTATCGACCAATTTTTCGACGATCTTCTTATTGAAATCACGATAATTATTACGAAAGATAACGTTACGTAGTTTGATTTTGTTTTTTTTTTTTTTTTAATCTGCGCGTATCTGAGCGACGCGCCGGCCGAGTGTGGTTAGCTTTGCGAAACGCGATAAGACAATTTGTTCTCGGTGCATCACGTGTTGATAACGTTACGTGTGGATCGATACAGCAATCTCGAAATAACTTTGCTGGCACACGTACTTACACGTATATTGTTTGAAAATCAAAACAAAGAATATTAATCTACGTCTGCGACGTCGCTCTATCATCGAACGGTCTGCGTGTTTCCGTTGATCGTCCCATCCTAAACTAAATTGTTGTGTTTCTTGATTTTTAATAGCGAAAATATCTCTTATCCTCCGGGTTACAAAGTCTTGCAAAAACAACTGGTCGATAATGTATCGTCTTACGCGGCAATTTGAATCATAAATCGATAAAGATAATTGCACGACGAGTCAGACAACATTGTATGTGCTGCATTAACGTCCGTTGTCGCTCATCGTCGTAAACAGCACGCGTCTGACACACACGCATTCCGATATGCGTCGATGTACTTTTGACCGGCAATCAAAAATTCAAGGACCGCAAATTTCACAGCAGAGACAATAACATTGATAACCCCGGCAATTATTATTTCTATATTCTCCAAGTCGCCGAACACGATAACGATGCAACATTGTTCGGCCCTGGAATGCGAAACCAACTAAAAAAATTCACGCGAGCGCGCTTTCACCCTTCCTCAATTTCCCTGATATCTCACCGATACAATTCAACGATAGCCAAAGAGAAACCAGCTCTTTTTCTTCGTTCCGCAAACGAAGAGGATCACCGTGTCACGTAACGTCTCCGCGTGATGCAAATCCAGCGTTACGACGAGAAACATGCGGGAGGATTGACGCACGGAGAATCTAGAATCCAGAAAAGCCGGAAAATAAATTGAGTTAGAAAATGGCGATCATTTTTTGTATTAAATTATTCTATTTCTCGAAAATGAAAACTCCTTACTATTTTTTAAGGTTATTCTGCGTGTCCTCCCACGTGTCTTAAAGAAATAATAAATATGATTTAGATAAACGGGAGAGTAATGAAGCTACTTTAACACGTTCACTGCCAGATAAAAACTGTATGACATTCTGCAAGATTAAAATTTTGATTTTACACCATTGTAAGCTACATAACCTAAAATTTGTTTCAGTACTTATTTTCATAACCTTATTAAAATTCATAAACTCCATCCATTTCCCTCGACGTCTTAACTTGAAAATTAATTTTTCTAGTATCATAGTGGTAAATCCTGTCACCCATATATGTATGGGTGACGTGGCAGTAGAAGTGTTAAAGGCCTTATCTGCTTGGTCCCTTCATACTGATTGATGCGCCATCTTTACGTGCATTCTGCTTCTTATTTTTATTCGGTGAAGTTCTTTGTCTAAAAATAAATAAAATAAAGCTGTAGTTAACTTCGATGAATCATGAAGTAATTTGAAGTACAGCTGCTCCGAACGAATAAGTGCAAGTATGTGCTTCGAATTGCTTGGAGAATCGTTACTTATGAAATCGCGAAAATCGATTTTTGATCGTCGTGAGAGTTCATTGCCTGGCTATGGGAGGAATTGACGAGGGTGAAGTACGGTTGAGGGGAAATGATGATTTCCCGGGTGAAAGTGTGGAACGAGGGGGGCGAAGCAGGGTTTTGAGACGCTACTGACCAGGATGCGGAGTGGTGAACGCGCGGTGGGAGGGCATGGAAGGTAAGGAACGTTCGCCGGGCCGTGGAGCTACGAGAGGAGAGGAACAAGCGGTTACCACGCTATGTGACACGTGCGCGTGACGTCACGGGGCCGGTCACGCGAGTACCGTGTGCTCCCGGTCACGTGTCCTGTCACGCGCTCGCTTCACCTCCCGCGTCCCACCGTTCCATGTCATGCCGCCACATCGACTGCATCCCTTCCTTCGAGACTGCCAACCGTCTCTCTTTCTGCCATTTATTTTTCTCTCCTTTTTCTCGTCTGTTGTCGATCATGGTCTACGCGCCTCGAGACTTCTCTCAATCTTTCTCTTGCTTACTTTGCGGGACGAAACGATAGGACGCTCTTCGTACATACAGAGAAACAGTTGTCGATCACGAAAGTTTTTTTTGTTTTTCTATTAACGACAGCTAAGCCTCTCTCAAGCTTATGTGTCCCTTTGGTAGCTACATTGACTATACAGTTTTTAATTGCACTTATGAATGTATGTACATATCTTAAGTATTAACCTACTTGACCTAGTTAGTCTTAGGTTATTTGTATTTATTTTACTACTTATGCTTAGGTTATATCGATAGTCTATGGTGGAGATCACGAAAAAGTATTATATACTCTAATCGCCACGCCATCTAGATATTCTTATGGTGAGATGTTAAAGCAGATAATACTTTCCAATTGTACCGCCGGGAATAAAAATTGGTTAAACGCCCGACCATTCGTTCCAAGGCGACGAACACGAAATATGAATTCCATACAAAGTGGGCAGCATTGTGGAAAAGACGAATAGACATGCTGCGTATACGATACCACGCCATTGTTGTTTATTGAACTATATCAGAGTTCAAGAGCAATGGAATCGAATTTTCCCAGACCGAAGCACTATGCAAAACTGTGTCTGTCAGGTTCTACACATAAATAAACGTTTTAGTTATTAGAAGATTATTTAAGCGTGACCACTTACTTTCGCTATAAAATATGTTTCTATATCTTATTAACACTTTGACTGCCACGTCATTCACATATGGGTGACAGGATTTACCACTACGATACTAGAAAAATTAATTCTCAAGTTAAGACGTTGAGGGGAATAAGTTTGGATAGAATTTGTGAATTTTAATAAGGTTACAAAAATAAGTACTGAAACTAATTTTAGGTTAGGTAATGGTCTAAAATCAAAATTGTACTTTTGCAGAATATTATACGGTTTTGATCTGACAGTGAACGTGTTAAGTAAGACATGCAACAGTGAAAAGCTTAGTTCCAACAAAGGTACTAGTGGATTTGGTTAGAAGAAACTCAAAAAAATGGGTCGAAGAAAGTCCCTGGAAAGAGGTGAAATCGGATCGAATTCTGCTTTTACGTTCAGAAATGTATATACAGTAGAACCTGTGTGGAGGAAAAAACCAAACATTTTAGAAACTTAAAAATTGTATCACTGAAAAGTGGAGTAGAACTAAATAAAAATACAAGTTCGTACTACTCTTTTATTTAGTTCTACTCCACTTTTCAGTGATACACTTTTTAAGTTTTTAAAAAGGTTGGTTTTGTAGGAGCCCTCCGTGGCTCCGTGGCTTGAACGTTTGTCTTCGATTCCCGAGGTCTCGAGTTTGTCTATCGTATTCTGTATGTTATCTGTAATAAATTCGATCGTTTTATATCTAGTAAAAAAATATGAAATAAAATAATTGCAAAATTACTATTGTATAAATAATATTTGCTTCGAGTGTCTTATCGTTTTGTCTTGGACTGTATATCGCAATAAGGTTCGACCTAAACCTGAATGGTCACCGTCACGCAGTGACACATGAGAATGATAGTCTCGTTTCTACGTTTCGGTACGACGTGTTTACGTATACCTGCGCCTCGCCGTAGCGATTTTTACTGGGATCGTTTACACGGTTCGCTTGAACGCTGTGTATTACTTTTCCACCTATGATTAAATATTACTATCTTTATTTGATTACAACAAAAATAATGGTTTCTTAATTGTTCAGACGCGTAGAAACACAATTACAGAATCGAAAGTCCACACTGGATGACCGTGTTAGTACGCTTTTAGATTTCGAAGCAACACACAGATCGATACGAGCGATAATATTTAAAGATCGAAAGTCCAAAAGACACGACTGGGGTTATCTAAGAACCGAAATAAAAATAGACGTCGTTTGCAGGTAAGTAACAGATACACGCGTGAGAACTGGACAAAGTTTGCAAGCTCAGCGAAAAAACATTGAAAGCGAGTGGCGATTCGGATATTACCGTAGATCCGACTCGCGTTTATCGCGTTCTACATTTTATGATAATTCTGTCCAAACTAAAGCGAATTACTAAAATGTAAAAAGTGCGAAGGCGATGATGTAATGGTTCAGTAAAGTCAACAGATAAATTAATATGGGAATTATCTGCGTATTACGGTTTAGCGATACGAAGAGACCCTAAATTCCGTCGATGATACGGAAAAAGCGATTTGGATGACTTTTTATCACGACCGCTCTACAAATAAAAATTCGTTGCACACAAATTGTTCTTCCGGGCAGGACTGATGGTACAAACAGAGATAAGCGTAATTCTTGTCCAAATAAAAATTCCGAAGAACGAACAAAACAAAAACAATAAATTTTAATTGTACAATTAAATATTCCAAGATCTATACATATATGAACAAATCTGCAAAGATGGGAATGTATGGAGTTCCTGTTTCTACCGGGAATTTTCAATATTTTTGGGTTTATTTAAATATCAAAGCCATTGATATTTTCAGAGTGTCTGTTTGTTCATCTGTCTGCAAGTTTGTTTGTTCCGCAATAACGCGAAAACACCTAATATTCTTGTACACGTGTAGACATATTTACAACATGTTACTTTACACGAGACTTTGATACAACAAATTTCAATCTTAATTATGATTAAAAATTGTGATTGTAATTACACGTATTTATAGTTTAAAAGTTAATAAATCATTGTAGTAAA